CGTGTGCCCAAATAAATCATTCAAGCGAGCTGGCATGTGATTTAAGAGGGTTTCAATAAATGTGCTCAAATGAAATGATCGATTGGCCGAGCAGATGAAAATGAAAACAAAAAGTTTCGAATAGTTTTTCATATTGATAGAGGTGGCTATCGGCAAAATTCGTCAAAAAGCGTGTATTTATAATTTTATTAATCTGGAAAAAATTTAATAATTCAATATCAGCCGTAATTATTAATTAAAATATTTGCCCCGATCGGAAAAGATTTTTTCTGCAATATTGTTTAATTTTTTTTTTTAATAAATTTAACCCCGGACTTCGAGGCAGCTGATAAAATCTTTTAAAAATGCAAAAGGTCGCCAAAATCAACAAATAAATATTAATTTTGTTTTGATTTTATTATTTAAAAAATTGCCTATGGTAAATAATATTGTTTAATTTATTAAATTAGTTAATGAGCTTGAATAAGCATATGTTTTGAAAACATAAGATAGAAATATTACTTTCTATTAACTTAATTAATTACTAATTTTAATTCATAACAATAAAGAAAATAATAAAATTTTTAACCCAATAAAAAATAATAAATAATTTAATTTGTTTGTATTTCAATGATACATTTCCCTTACTTTATTGAATTTTCTTTTAATCTTTCTACACTTTCCCTTTAATTGCATTTGAGCCCGTATCCTAATCTATTCATCTACATTTTAATTTCCCTGTATACCAATTAATCGCCTGATTAATTTTCGTAGTCATTTTATTGTTCCATATGTCTCTTGATTTCCAACTACTTACATTTCTTACAGTTCTTAGTTCGGCTAAACTCAATGAAATTAACATAAGAAAGTCGCTGCATATCACATGTTTATTTAAACAGGACTACATGCGCTCCGGGGTGCGCCGACACTCGAGTTCAGCTCTTAGGGCCTTTGGCACATTTACTTAAGTTATTTGACTTGTTTCCTATTTTTTTGTTTTGTTTTATTGTGCTCTTTTATTTTTTGCAGGCGTCTCTAAGGCCCCGAGCAGCAAAAGGGCCAAAGATGCAACACACACGATACTTGGGTTAACATTTTGTTTGGGGCACTTTTTGTTGCCAAAACAGTGGAATTTCGGGCCAAGGATTTTGTCGTTGTTGTCTTGCACGCTGATTCCTATTTCTAAACAGGAGGGCCAAAGCTCCGGGAATACGGAGCGTGTCAGAGTTGGCATTAGAGCCTGACATGCCTGCAGGGACAATGCCGGAGCGTTGAGGTATGTAAAGGCTATTGATGTGTGTGTGGATTGTCTTGTACTTGTTGTTGTTGTTGCTGTTGTTGTTGTTGTTGCTCTACTCCTTGTCTCGACTTGATTGAGTTTTATGCATAGTTTACTCTCCTGTGCTGCCTAATAGCCGTCGGCCCTCAGCCACGTGGCACACATCCTTAATTTAAGTGACGCCAGCGATAAGCGGCCTTTGAGCCTTTGAAGTTGAAATCTTTGCCTTAAATTGCGTTCTTCGACATATTTCTTCCTGCTTCTTTTTTTTTTTAAATGGTGGCAAGTGCTTAGGAGATGACTGGATATAAGTTGGGGCACCTAAAAGTTGGCCAGCATGAACTTTGACGTCATCGTGGCGCATTGTCATACACAAATGTTGTCTCAGTTTGTTGTCTTCTTCTACTTTGCCATTTTGCCATTCACCTTTATTTGCGCTGCGATTTATTTATTCAAAAGCACAACAATTTTCGCAATTTTCTTTTTATTTTTCCTATATACACATATTTACTTATTTGGCTTTTAGCTAAACTTGGAGTCTAGTCTTTTGTGCCAACTGCCAATTCAATGGGCTGCATTCATGAGCTGTCTGAGTTTTTTTTTTCTTTTTTTTACTTTTTTATATATTTTTATTTGGTCTTTCGCTTTTGACTTGTTTGCTTTTTCATGGATGTCTGCCCAAAAGGTTGAGCGAATGCTCACTTGAAGCATGCATGTATGAGGTAGGTGTGTGTGTGTGTGGGTGTGTGTGTGAGTGGGTGTAGAACGCCAGTCATTGCTGTTATATGACAGCGCAGTTGACGTCATTATAAGCAGAAACATATACACTCATACACAACTCAAATGAGTATTTGTATAGCAGCTTAGCTAAAGGTCGTCTCAAATATACTTGAACATCTAAATGCAGATTAAGGATTAAAGGAAAAAAGTTGACTTTAAAAATGTATCTTAAAAAAAAAATTTCGAAAGTCACCAAGTTATTCAATTCGACTTTAATTGCCGTGAAAATGTTGAGCATAACAACTTAAGTTTATTTAACTTTATACTGAATATGCTACTGTTTATTTATTTGATATATATTTATATGTTTTATGCTATTATTATGTCAAATAGCGTAAAATATTTTTATTCAGTAAAATAATCTTGTGAAAACCCACATTTTATAAAATACTCTAAGGGTGGGTTAAATTATTTATTTATTTAATTCATATCAATAAATATTATATTATCTTCACTTTATATAATTTTTCTAGTATTTTTTGTATATTTTTTATTTTTGATTTTAATTTATTTTTTATAATTTTTCAAACTGTTGTATATTTTTTTTTTAATATATATTATTTATATTTTAGTAATATTCAAGTTTTAAAAAGCCTTTAAACATGAAAATGATTTGCTAAATATTTGAGTTTAGAGCAAAGAATTATGAAAATTAATTATTAACAATCAGTAAGGTATTTTCAACAAAAAAAAACACTTTGTATAAAACACGAGTTTTATCTAAACGCACACATATATAATCGTGTTTATATTGTCTTTGAATATACTATATTTGAAGTTTTCGCAGTTCTTAATAAAATAAATATTTTTTTTTTTGCATATATATATACACTTAAGTATACCCATACCTTACAACTTAAGCTTAAAATCGATTGTTTTTTTTGTCTTCTTTCGTTTTTACCTGTCTATCGGCAACACTTTTAAGTCAACTTCAATTAGACGTCGGAGAAATGCAAAGTCGCTTTTCTATTTGCTCAGAGATGCTTTTGTGCAGACACTCGAGGCTTATGCAAAAGAAATCTCCATTATGCTGGACAATTGAAGCGTAAGGCGCCACTCAAAGTCGGCTTCAAGGCGTCTGTCAGACAGTTGAGTTTAAGGATTTCGATTTTCTATTGGCAGTAAAGTCGAGTCGAACCCGCCTTCTGCTCGGTCATTCCAGCACAGAGTTGGCTAAATTATGCATTGTATTTAAACAGTCTGTCGTGCGCGCACACACACACACACACAAACCAAGACACACATTCACACACACTCTAACATACAGCATACGCGTTATGCCCCAGAAATTAGGCTACAAAAATTATGATTATGATGTGTTCATTGTTTTAATGCGCCCCCTTGCCAAAGGCAATTTGCCAAATACGTAACACAAACACAAATATCAAGTACCTACAAATACACAATGGAGCGCACAAGCAGCACGCACACATACCTATATATATATATATATATATATATGCAGCAGGAGTGTGTGTAACATTTTCGGCTACTCAACTTATCAAGTGCTTACAAATCGTCCTATGTTAGAAATACCTATGAGGGGGCAACATTAACAATTTGAAAGAATTTGCTACGCTTATAGGAAATGAATAAAAATTAAATTTTACGTTTGAGATGAAATATATTTAATACTATTTTTGGGCATATATCCAAGATATGCTGAGAAATTATATACTTATTTTAAGAAAATTATAAATAATTCAAATAAGAAAATTAGATAATATTATACGAAAAAGAAAAGAAAAGAAAATTTATTTATAATATTAAATAGGAAAATTGCGAATTGTTAAAATTGTTGCGATTTCGACTATTAAGAAGATTTTGTAGAAAACTTTTTATATTAATGTATTTTGTATTATTATTTTTTCATTTGTTTGCACCTAAGTATTATTTTATAAATAATTTATATATATATTTTTTTTTTAATATTTCATATATCATGTTAAAATAAGTCATATAAATAAGTATAAATTTATTTAATAAATCTTAAAATAGATTTTCACATCATGCATTAAGACTGAAACGAAATAATTCTTCGACAAATTTATTCTTTATATAGAAATAGCCAAAAAAGTAAGAGCATCTGTGTGCCGCTTTATTGAAAATAAAAGTTTTTATTTTCTGTTGGTTTTTGTCTTCTGGCGCAAGAATTTTGTTTACATTTCGTGCTGCTAATCACATGCAAATCCTTTTAAGTCGCAATGACTTTGTGACTCGGGCGCATAATAAGCTCATTTGTAATGGAAATAAGTAGACACACACACACTCATGAAAATCCCAGTATATATGTGTGTGTTTGACTGTTTGTGTTTGTAATAGCTGCAGGTTATTTGGCATAACCTTTTTTTGTAGCTATTGCTGGCAGTGCCAGGAGTTGAGCTCCAGTTAACCTGCTTTTGTTTATGGCATATGAGTACATTTGTGCGTGTGTGTGTGCGTGTGTGTGAGTGAGTGTGCACATTAAAATATGAATCTAATGTTCATTTTATGCGCATAATTTACGCTGCCAGGCAAAACAGAGCACCTACCTCATACGCATCATTTGTACTGGGTGTTGACTTCCTTATGAAAGGCACTGTTCCCTAGCCGGGTGCATAATGATGTGTGAATTGTGTATGTTTTGATAGCTATATGTATCTGATTAAAATAAATATTTAAAAACGATAAATATCCCTAAATATGTCCCTTAAATACTGAGGTGATAAATAAGTTTAACTTTTATTAAACTTAAATTTTTAATGGTACATAGGAATAAAAAATGTCAAAGTTCAATATAACAGGGTATTGTTGTTATTTTTGAGACTTGAAAAATTATAAATTCTTGGCACAAATAATTGCAATCACTTTTACTTTTGCTCAAAGCTGTAAAAAAATTGATAAGAAATAAAAGAACAGTGAAAAGTATGATTAACTTTAACTTTTGATCGATTAGCATGTCTAGTAAGCTTTGCTTTATCAGGATCAGTAAAACACTCGAACTGAAATAGTACATCAACTGAACAACAGAAACAAATACAAATACTGGTTCGAACGTAAACAAATAAAACGCACATCATAACACAAGCAAAACACGATATCCATAAAACATATTGCTACAAATAGAGTAGAAGATCCCGCACAATGGCAATGCGTGGCGACTTAAATGACGTAAACTTCGGGAGCTATGGGGAATATATGAAATCGTTTACCAAAGTTGAGGACTACCGCTATTTGGGCAGCAAAAATGTCATAAATGCGCTGGTAAAAGTCGGCTATCGCACCAATGCCACAGTATATGAAGAGCATGAATTCTACAAGCGCAGGCAGCAGCTAAAGGAATTGACGAACGCAAAGGTGCTAACAACTAGGCTTTATAGTACTTATCTGAAAAGTGATGATCCGGCGCTAGTTGCCCTGGCCGAACGAGAGGCGCCCAATGTGCTAATGAGGCTATCGGTATACTCAAATAGATGATTACTAAAATCTATATTTAAGCTTGTTCATAATCTGATCCTTACACAGACTATTATCTTCCTGCAAATACGGCAGCGCAGTGGCTTCGATATATCGGGTTATATAGACTATGCGGACAGCTTGCGCGCCTGTAGCCTGCGCTTGCTTGGGGCTGCAAATTGGCAGGCCATATTTGAGGGTCGCACTATGTTGCGGCCCAATCGCAGCCACTTGAGCTTTTATGACTGGCACAGTGCGTTCTTTGCCTTCAACAATAGCGAGAACTACGAAGTCATCAATTATAAAAAATGTCTCATGTTCAAGCACACTGGCGATCATAAGTTTGTTCCTGTTACAACTACGGATAGCATACATAAGGATAATGTGAAGCGCACATTTATTGAATCGCCATTATATGGCTGTGTCATTTTGTATGACCATTTTGTCCGAAAGTAATCTTAAATATTCAATTTTCTTCATAAATAGAATAAAAACAAATATACATTTATACATTTATATAGAAGCGTTTGTACTGACTGTCTGCTTGGTGAGGTCTTCAGATTCAATATTGAAAATTCCAAATGCATCTCGAGAGCTAGAGACTTGTCATTTGAATATAGTTATATTTGGGTACACCCTTGTCATATGAAGCCTGATGAATTTATAGCTACGTCCTCTTGGGGCATAATGCATAGAAATAATGTTAGCCTAAAGGCCTTAAACCAAAGGAACAGTTTGAGCAAGAGCTGTAATTTCTTTAAACTGGAATTTTTAAGTTGGGAAAAATTGCTGCATCTAGTAGGCTTCGATTGGCTTAGGCACAGATCAACACTTAAAATTCAGTTATACACTAACTGTACAACAAGTACAAACACAATACAAAAAAGATAAAAAACCAAACATATTAAAAAACACGCTACACTAAAACACAACACTAAAGAAACACACCCTGTGTACAACTTATAAATAAAAAATAAAACTAGAAGAAGATCCAGCACAATGGCAATTATTGGCGACTTAAGTGTACTAAAATTCGACACCTATGAGCAATATCTGGGCTCGTTTACCAGAATTGAGGAATATCGCTATTTGGGCAGCAAACGTCTCGTAAGAGCGGTGGTAAAACTTGGCTATCGAACCAATGCCACAATATATGATGAGGAAGAGTTTTATGTTAAAAAAAAAAAAATTTTGGAAGCGATTAACCCCAAATCAATTATAACTACGCTTTTCAGTTGTTATCTGAAAGGTAAAGATCCGGCGTTAGTTGCCCTGGCCGAGCGAGAGGCGCGCAACATGCAAAAAAAGCTATCGGTAAACTAATAAATAAAAGATAGCCAATCTATAACCTAGCTAATTCTTGAAGTACCTCCAACCTAGACCATTATCTTTCTGCAAATACGGCAGAGCAGTGGCTTCGATATATCGGGTTATATAGACTATGCGGACAGCTTACGCGCCTGTAGCCTGCACATGCTTGGGGCTGCAAATTGGCGGGCCATTTTTGAGGGTCGCACTCTGCTGCGTCCCAATCGCACCCACTTGAGCTTTTATGACTGGCACAGCGGCAATGTTTCCTTCAATCATAGCGACAACTATGAGGTTATGCCTCTGGGATCCTCGCTTACGTTCAAGCATAAAGGCGATCACAAGATCATTTCCGTGACGGTGGTTGATAGTCCCCATAAGGATAATATGAAGCGCACTTTCATTCAGTCGCCTTTGTACGGTTGGGTCGTTTTATACGACCATGTCGTTAGAAAGCCTTCTTAGATAGCTTACTAACTCTTTTATAAATAGATAACATGTTAACATTGTATAAACACATATTTCGATTAAAAAAACTGCACAGATTTATAAATTTGCTGAATAATCAATTTTCAAGATTGCGACTCTTTCCGCCGCATCAAATTCGCTACTAATGTATGGAAGAAGGCTTTAGATAAATTGGTAATTTCCAACTATATCATATATTAATAAAAAACAAGCAAAAGGGTCTAGTCGGGAGCTCCCGACTAGGGGATACCCTGAACCCTCTTCTTCCAACAGGCGATAAGTATAAAATGAAAGATACTTGATATATATATACTATTCTAGAAGCTTGTCAAGTTTGGTGATTTTAGCTCTTATTATTTACCAAAATTGCTCAAAAAACAGGATTTCGATATAGATTTTTATCTATTACTTGGAAACGGGGCAAGTTATCGAATATCGGAAACAAGCTGGATCTGCGCGGGGACTAGGAGGGCCTACATTTTAAGTCTCTAGCTCTTATAGGTTCTGAGATCCTTGCGTTCATACATACGGACAGAGGGACGGACGGACGGACGAACGGACGGACAGACGGACAGACAGGCTGATCAAGAATATATATGCCTTATGGGGTCGGAGATGCTTCCGTCTGCCTCTTAAATACATTTGCACAAATTCAATATACCCTTTTTACCCATTTTTAATGGGTTCAGGGTATAAAAAGCGAAATCCTTAAGCCCAATATATTCTACTACATATTGTGAAAAAATCATATCTTTTTACCTACGAGAATTAAATCTATCCGACTAAAATGTTTCATGCTTCATTCCGTTGTAGAAAATCAGAACAAAACTACACTTACTCCACTTAAATAATACATTTGTATTAAAAAAAAAAAATAATAAAATAAATAAATAAAAATAAATAACAAATACACGAGAACAAAAATATATTACGTATACAATGGGTGTTATTCGACCGGACTTTGGATTACTCCAGTTTGATAACTATTCCGATTACATCAAATCGTTCATTTCAATAGAGGATCGGCGTTATTTAGAATATTCGAGTGCTATTAACCAATATGTGAAGCTTGGCTATCGAACTACTAGTAAAATCCTTGAAAATGATGAATTCAATAAAATTCGAGACAAAACTTTGGAAGTGCTTTACCCGAGAATTCAATTGAGCTTGCAGTGCGGCCAATATTTGAAGGGAAATGATCCTGGTCTGGTGGCCTTGGCGGAACGCGAAGTACCCAATTTATTGCAAAAACTTTCGGTAAGAATCTAAATTGAATAAGGTCCTAACACCGGAATATTTTCCCATTTTAGACAATTATTTTTTTGCTGGTACGCCAACCGAGCGGCTTTGACATATCGGGTTATATTGACTATGCGGATAGCTTGCGCCAATACAATTTACGTACGATCGGTGCGACCAATTGGAAGGGCATCTTTGAGGGCACCTGTAAATTGCGCCCCAAGTCCAATAATTTGAGCTTCTACGACCTGCATAGGAAACTCGTCACCTACAACGATAGTGGAAATTATCAGACAATGCATGTCGGTCAGTCGATGATATTTATGCACAAGGGCGATCACAAGGTAATTCACATGGACTCGCATCATGGAACTGGTTCCGTTAAGCGCACTATGATAAATTCCCCGGCCCTTGGCACAATGGTTTTATACGATCACGTTGTAAGAAAGCCCGTCTGATTGCTCATTCGGCAATTGACGAATTTAAATATATTGATCACCAGAAACTGAATATAATTAAATGGTTTTCTTTGTGGCATTATTCGAATCTGAATTTTAGGTTCATATTAAAATGCATTTACATAGTTTAAATATATTCAATAAATATTTTACTTGTAGGAAAAAATTCCCTATTTGTGGGAAAAGTATTTAAAAAATATTTATCGGGCCATCTAAAGTATACACTTTGGGTAATAAGATAAAAATTATTTAAAACAAATTGGCCCACCTGCGTATTTTTAGCTCCGCTATGACAAACATATTTTACATTTACAATACCTCATATCCTGCGATTCCATTGGCAAGTGCTCGTTGTGATTGGCAAAATTTAACAGCTGATTGGTTGATTTCAAATCGAATGCAGACACCATTTAATGGCTTCTTTTTGGGGTTGGCTCACTTTAAATATTAGCTGTTTCTGCTGCTGATTCTTTTATTTTTTCCATCAAGGAAATTCAAAGAATTGCAATCGATGCGAATAGAAATATTTTTCGCAAATGTTAGGCAACATACTTCAGATACTCTACGTTAGTAACATTCGCGAAAAATGTAAGAAATGTTAATAGTGGAAACAGATCTTCACGCAGACGAAGAGTAGGCAGTAAAACGTTTGCGAATGAGATACAAAGCGGAATTGGAAAATCAAATGCTCGCAGTGGAACATTTTTAACATGCGTAATAAATGCAAGAATTGTCAATAGTGGAAGGTAGTAAAATGTATAATTGCGAATGTGACACAAAGAATTGGAATATCAAAAGCTCGCAGTAGAGCTAGCGGAAAACATATAATATATGCGAATCAATAGAAAATAATATGCAAATCTTATATACGAGCCATAAGCAGACGGCCGAAGAAACCGCGTTCGTTTAGCAGCTTGGCGCAGCTCTGCCAAGAGTTGTGATAGAGTGGAGTCAGCGGGCCGAGCACATTCTCCCGGGTGAAGTCGCACTTCTCGCACAGATTCGGCTGGAATCGCACATCCGAGTGGGTGCCACTGACCAATGTGTAGGTAAGTCCGAGCGGACCGCGGCAACCGTCGGGCGACTCGAGGCACAGCTGGAAGAGCAAGCTGCAGGGACAGTTAGCCTGGTCAGCTGGTACCTCGACATCGGTCGGTGTCTGCCATTTGAGCTGCACGGACCAGCGTTGGCTGAAGGCCTCGAACATGGCGCAAGTCTTAAAGTTGTTGCGCGGAAAGCCCTCCACTTGCGGCAACAGCTGCAGCAGGCGCACCGTGATGTGTGGCAGCTGCAGCAGCTTCATTATCTTGCCCAAAAGACACTGCTTGGCGTCGCGCTGCTCCTGGCGCTGCTGCAGCTCGCCCAGCAGCTGCAGACCCTGCTTGCCATGGTACCCGCAGCCCTCCTCATGTGCCGACACAGCTTCGCCCAGCATGCCCTTCCAGTTGCAGCCAATGCGCCTGTACTTGCACGCCACCAGCCGCCGGGGGCAATCCTCCAGTCCATGCTTGCGCAGCAAGCCGCGCTGCAAGTGGACGCCGCAATCCTCGCAGGCTACCATCAGCTGGGCGAGCGTGTGCTCGCCCGCCAGGTTGCGGTACGGCTCATGCCGATAGATGCGAACGCCGCACTGCGGACAGGTGCCCAGCTGAGCGCCGAGCATCTTGTCCAGCACGCGCATCTGATAGCAGCCGGCGCAGATAGTATGCTCGTGCTGGCACTGATAGAGCGTCGTGAACGGCATCGTCTTGCACACAATGCAACGTAGGGCTTCCAGTTCATCCGCATTGCCACTCACATTCAATCCACTCCAAGCGGGCACATTGACCAGCTCGTCATCGCTATCGATATCGATTCCGGGTATGTATCTTAATGGTATTGCGGAAGAGTCTGTTTCTGGGAATACGGGATCGTTCTCTTCCGGTTCTTCAGCGTCTTCGGGGGTTGGCACGTTCTCAACCGACATGTTGCGTAGGTGGTGCTCGTTCGTTTTAAAATATCATGGAATATTTATTACAAATATTTATGTGCATTTTTCAACATATTTACTGTGGAATGTGCTACATTTATTTATTTTCTCCGACCTCAAGCAACGCTTCAAATTACAGCTTACTTGGATTAACACAACATAACAACATCTGTTTATTCGATTAAAATCATATAAAAGAGGATCTATTAATATGATCATAAATATAAACGAAGTATATATAACCATTTTTATTCATATATATATAAATTAAAATATATAATGTATAAATTAAGTATATATATGTAGACAGATGTTCATAAATTGAATATTTATTTATATACATATACATAAAAAAGAGGATAAATTTATTTATTTATATTTGTATATAAATTTATTATATTTCTATACATATTCTTCGAGCTTCATTTTTTTCAAATCTGACTTATATAAAAAATATATATATAATTGATATACATACATTTTAGTTTTATTGTTATTTTACTTCTTGGGCTTCACAGGAAAAAAAAAACATATTGAAAGGTAATTCGATTTTCCATTTCGTGTCAGTTAATAAAACTCTTAGTAGCCAGAGCTTGGCGAAATTGATGCAACATGCAACCTCTTTTGTTTGCTGTAAAATAAGCAAAAGCATTGTGCAAAAATTAAGCGATTTTTAATTAGTTTTTGCGCGCAAGGACTTACAGCGGAAATTAAAAAAAAATAAATAAAACGAAGTCCTGCAATGGCAGCATATTAAATAACACTCGCGCTGATGCACAAGGATTGGCTCCAATTGCTTGACAAACTACCAGATAGTAAGAAAATGTGGAAAACAAAGCGCAGCTGTCATGCCAAGGCAACCAAGCCTTGACCGAATCAAAAATAAAAAGAAAATTTCTGCAGCTGGCGAGAAAAAAAGAAAGTCTAGCAGATGCTATGGCTAAATAATAAACAGCTCTAAATCATTTCAACAAATGGCAGCCACGTGATTTCCGCTTGCTGCACGTGCTTCAACTGGCTCTAAATGTTTGTCCTGGCACCCCCAACGCACTGCCACGCCCCGTTGCGCCCAAGCTGCCAAAGCAGAAATTATTGGCAACGCGCTTAAGCGCAATAAATATGTTTGATTGCTGGCAACGGGCCAAAATACAAAATACGCGTTTGAGCGTTCCGAGTGTATTCAGCAGTCGGTGTGGACCGCTGCTCCAGCATATCCTGCTCCTCTTGCCGCCAATTTGTAATTCATTCGAAGGGCCCAAGTAAATCGCTGCAAGCTGTTTGCTCAGCAGTTTTTAATAGTCGCCGATTCTGATCTGCAAAACGCACACAAAGCACCGCCAGCAAAAGGATAACAAAAATGTAAACATGAAAATGATTTGCTTGGTAAATTACTTGCCGATAAACCAAAGATAAATCAAAGTTCGCTTGTTTATATAACACATAATAATAGACTAGAAAACAATATACTTAATGCCAAGTAGAATATTCATGGAAATTACAAGTGTAAGTTGCCAAACTTTTTAAATAGCAAACATTTATGTTTCGAAATTTAATTTATTGATTATTATGTGTTAATATTACACGAAACGTGCTCCCACCAAGTATTTTCATCTGTACTGGAAATAAATATCATTAATAAATAAATGTAAGTTTCCTCGAAAATTAACAAGGCCTTTTAAATCATAAAGGGAACATTAACTGACACAAATCTTTTAAATTTTATAATTTAAAGTACAATATATAAGACCTTAGACTTTTTAAAAATCCTCATATTAACAACAAATAATTTAAAATTGTCTACAATAAATATCTCAAGCATTTAAATATGGGAGTAGAAGGTAGCCCATTACCTTTTTAAATATATAAATGTGTTAAGATAAATATGCATGGATTTAAATATTTAAGTATAATATGCTCCAATTATCAGTATAAGTATGTATATAAAGTTAAGACCATTAAAGTCCTCATGGAAACATTAAATAACCTATTTAAAATTAAAAAAAATTAATATCTCAAGGAAGTAAAATTGAGAATAAAAGGTAGCCCTTAATTTGTATATTTAAGTATAATATCCTCAAATTAAGTATATATGTATAGATTGGGAATTTTAAAATACTCATAAAAATATTAACAAAAAATTATTTTAAATTTTATAAAATTAATATCTCAAGCATTTTTATATGGAAATAATGGGTAGTCTATAGATTCTATTAATATTTAAATAAGTTTATTTAAATATGTAGGAATTTAAAGATTTAATGAATAAATATTGAAAATAATAAATACATAAATAATTGAAGGTATATATATATATCATTTATATTTTGTTATTTTATTGTCAGATTTAAGAAACAGGAAATGTTGATTCCCAATGTAAGATACTCGCTTACCCATATTGAAACTATCTATAATCATAATTTTTTTATCACGCCAAGTTCACTAGGATGCTCACAAATGCCGCTGGACAATCAATTACAAATCGATTGGCCAAAGGAAAGAATATTACAAAAGCCCAACTAAAAAGGGGGTTGAATAAAAAAAAGATGCGGAAAAGCGCAACTAAAAATGCTTTTGTGCACAATTCGATTATTTACGTTATTCTTTTTAGATGATATTTCCCGTTGGCAAACGGGTTAGCGTGTTTGGTTTGTAATGGAGCTGGTGCCGGAGAAACCAATTATCTGAACCAAGGAGCAGGAGCAAGCGCCGCGGCACAGGCAAGCGATTTGCAGGGAATCGGAGGAAATGGAAGTGGAAGCCGTATTGCATTGAAAGCCAAGAAAATAAGTTTCTATCTGGCAGCTAAGAGGCAACAGCAAACAAAAGATCAAATTAATAGCATGGCCAACAAGCTGCGGGCAGCAGCAAAACAAAAAACAAAAAAAAAAACACAGCTGGCGGCAACCCCATCAATGGAGGGCGTCACTTGCAGTGGACAAACATTTGTACAGTTGGCTGCCGACGAACGGAGCCCAAACATAGAGCCCACTATAAAACACTGAGGATGGTGCAACTGAAGCATCATACACATTTCCGGTGTTCTTCCACAAGCAACACAATTGGACTGAGCATGTCAATCAAGTACGCACTGATCTTTGCCCTGGCGGCGCTCTGCTGTCTGGTGGCCACCGAAGCAGCAGCTCAGCGTCGCAACGGTCTGGCACGCGCTGCGGTCGTGCAGGCGGACGAAAACAAGACGGCTGAGGTTGAAGGGCGCCAGGCGGAGGACCAGGAACTGGACGAGGAGGTGGAGCAGGAGGAGGAGGGCGATCAGGACCAAGCTGCTCCAGTCAAGGTGCAGGAAAACGAGCAGCGCACCGTGGCCGCTGACAACAGGCAGAACCCGCTCAGACAGACCGTTGTCCGGTCCAGCAATGATGATGCTCGTGCCAGACGCGTGGTGCGCCGCGGCACTCGCCGTGGTCCTCGCCGCAACAGGAACAGCCGTCGTCGTAGTGGCGGACGTCGTCGTGGCGGTCGCAGGAATCGCTCTGGCAACCGTCGTCGTAATAACATCAGAAGGCGCGGCGGCAGGCCCCTCCGGGGTTAAGCATTTGACCACAAACGGACTCATCGATGCACACACTCACCGATTAACTTAGGCACACACACACACACACACAACGTACAAGAACGAACTGATTTATGTTTGCGTTACACTTAATTATTTTCCCCTTCAAACCCCTTAAAGTAAAATATATATTTTCACATTTTAACTAAAAACTATCTGTTGTGGTATTCTTATATAGAAACTACCCTTTTTATATGTAAGCAAAATATTAATATTTAACATTAAGAACTACACAACGTCAAGATTTTACAACCCTTCTTCATATATATTTACTGAGCTGTGCCCAAATATTTCTGATCTAGTTTGCGACCCAATATTCGAACCGATTCACAGTCCTTAATAGCTTTTAAACAATTGCCGCATTCAAGCTGAAATGGATGCAAGCTTAAATCGCCAGTTTAATATAGTGCAGGCCGAAAATTCTTTGGATTGCAGAGAAAACTTTTCAACAGTATGCGAAAAATGCCAATGGCGAAAATTCCAGAGGCCTGTTCCTCGTCAGCAGCAGCAGCTTCAGCTCCGGCTCTGGCTCCGGCTCCGGCTCGGGCTCGAGCCCTGGCCAACAACTGAGGCTGGCGACGTGACATGTGACAAGAACTTGCCGCGGCTGCCTGCAACATCTGCTGCTGTTGATGTTGTTTTTGTTGTTGTTGTTGTTGATGCTGCCACACTCTGCTGCCTTGTGCTCGGCTTCAAAAATGATGAATGTGCCAATGTTTCTGGCCTGCAGCTGCAGCTGCCGGCCGCCCTTCCCCCTCGCCTGATGGCCTGCTGTCGGCGTTGTCTCAACTTATCCCGGCTACACTCGGGCAAAAGTTCTTAGCCAGTGTGGGGTAAAAGTTTTGCGGCCGCCAAGTTGGTCCATTTTTGGATTATTAGGTAACACTTGGTGCAACATACAGCACCAGTTGCAGCCTCAAAATGTTGCAAGTTTATCAACACAAAAGTTTTTGTAGTGTAACGGCTCCATAAATGGTAAATGGTAAATGGTAAATGAGTTTGTCAGGCCGCACACGCATTAAACCTCAAATAGTTTGTGGGCGGCGGTGGGAGTGGAGTACAGTTCAGGAAATTAAATCCATGTGCTGAGGCAGCTGGCAACATCAACAGCCGCCATGTGTGCACATTTTGATGGGCAGCCAACCGCATTGATGAGCATTTGCTATTGTTATTGCCCCAGAGGCGCCGCAGTGGAGCTCCAGTTCAATACAAGGCACCTCCATTCAGGTCCATTGCCGAAAATAATCACAATAATAATGAGCTGCTGCTGTGCTATTCGTTACTTGATACTCGTTACTTGCTACTCGTTATTTTCTCTACTCGTCCCTGGTGACAAGAGCCTGCTTTCGGGCGTTTAATTAAGCGCACAATGTGCATTCGAGAATTTTGTAATTTCCTATCCATCAGCTACACGTATGCTCTTATCGGTCTTTTGGGTCTGATGAATAGACAACAACCGGGTGTCTGCATATGTGTGTGTGTGTGTGTGTGCGAGTGTGTGTGTGTGCGAGTGTGTGAGGTTCTTTGTCTTTGTGTGCATCTGTTTGAAAAACAATAAGCTCTTCATTGTTTGTCTTTTTGAGCAACAACAAAGAACCAAGAGCAAAACAATTTAGATATGACAATAAAGCAAATGAAATGAATTCGTTTCGACAACTCTACAAACATATCGCCCATCATATGAGCAAAGAAAGCTGTTAAATTTTAAGTAGAAATTTCATTTCAATCTACTGAATTCTCAATGATGACCTATATTTTTATTGTTTTTTGTATTTGTACAAAGTGCAGGAACGTGAATACAGAACAACGAAATTTGTTCAATTTTCTTGCAGCTGTATCAATTGTTTGTTCAAAATTAAATTCATCTACGGAGGAAAAAAGTCAAAAATGTGTAATAATTTGTTTTTAATTATAAAATAATTTTCAATGTCAATAGACCTATTAATTGAGGAGAATATTATTCAAATTTTTAGCAATTGAACTATTCGCTTCAATCGCAAGGCAACACTTTAATTGGTTGACACAAATCGATGTAAAAACTATTGTCCGGACATTTATTTAACGGCCAAACAGTTTAACCTACACGTTAAAGAGCGCAGATGTGTAAAATAATGCATGTCTTAAAATTGTTACATTTAATTGATTTTAATGTTAATTGTTTTTGTGCTCGGATGCCGAGGCGCAATCGAAATATATCGGAGAAATACATATTAATCAAAATTATTTTTTATTTTTCAATCTCGTACCTTAACCCAGCCAAATAAATATTTAATTAAAATTAAAGTTTAAGATTTATGAGCTTAAAGTTAATTGCCAACCAATTTACTTAAGATATTTACTAGGGTAAAAACTAGGGTATAACTACTAAAGGTAACTAGGGACTGTGTATGAAATATAGAAAATGTATAATCATTTGAATGTCATGTGCATGTTTTCTTAGCATTTTTCATTTCTTGTTAACATATTTTCTTCAATAATTCCAAAAACATAACTTATTCCACCTATCTGCAGTTATAGGATATCGCTTCACTTTGGCAAAATTTCAATATATTCCATATAATAATGGTCCTTATTTTTAAAATTTTTTTTACAACTTTTACAATTGCTTTAAGACTCCTGAAGACATATTTTTCCGAACAAAAATTAAATTGAAGCAGCTAGATTTAGTTTGTTTCATCTAATTACCACAAACATGATTCACTATTCATGAATAACAGGCTTTATTTATTTTTAGCATCATGTTGAATTGAATTTAAATTGTGGTTTCAAGTTTCTAAACAACTCGCTTAAGTGTATGCCAATTGTGATCTGAAAATATTTTATTGAAAAACTTAAGCTTAAAGTTACGAATTTTTGGCAACGTTGACATATTTTCGCATATTGCTCCGTTGCTGTGGGTGGAACAGCAGTGCAAATAAACGCAAGGGTAAAGAAAGAAAGGCACACGACGATTTTCAATTGAAAGGCGGAAATGTAACGGAAATAAATTTACATAAATACAATATGGTGCGTGCTTGTTGGTGCCATTTTATTTGCTCAATATATATTGTGCTGGCACGCACAAACATATTTGCACAGAAGTGCGTATTGATTTATATATATGTTCGCATATATATATATATATACATGTGTAAAAATATTTTCTTTTTAGATTTTCCATTGAAAAATCAAATTTAAGACAGAACTTTAGTTATGCCAAAAGCTGCCTTCTGTCTATCTGTCTTGCTGGGCACCATCGTTGGCACTTCTTTAATGCCAAAAACATTTTTGCCATTTCGTGACCAAATTTAGAGCACTATCACGTGTGTGTAACACACACGCACACACACAAACTCGTACACACACCTGCCTATCCAGCCAGCCATAAGCTTCGGTAAGACATTTTTTGCATGCAGCATGCATTATTTGCATAAGATAAAGGATGAAAACAACAAAGAACGTTAAGTTAGGTGTTGCCCGACCTTCAGATTCCCAGTAAAAGAAGCTAACTATTATATCAATGTTAGATCGTTTGAATACTAAAGTATTTCTGGATCAATATAAATATACAGCAAGTTTTCATCTATTTAAATATAATTTAAATTGTTTTGAAAGTGAAACTTAATTTTTCATAAAGTCTTAAATTAATGAAGTCGAGAAGATCAATCTTATGTCAATATACCGAAAATTTAAATATAAATTTTACCTTGGAATAAGCCATTCGTTCTTGACTTAAGATTTTATTGAAATAATATTGTATCAATCATTTTGGAAAACCAAAATTGTAAAATAAAAACAAATAAATAAAATTATTTATAAGTATTATAATATTCGCTCAGTGGGGCTCGAGCCCGAGTTGCGAATTCTCATCTGAAGTATATCGCGAGATTAACTTGTCTCAAGATTTCATTCTATTATTATAATTTATAAGCTAAAGAGTTATGCTAATTTTAATAAGTGCTTATATCGAGCATGAATTATGGGAATCGTATTAATAGGTTGATTGAAACCAATTTTTCACGGATTTTTTTCTTTCTGTGTGAATAAAAACAATATTTTCAACAACAATATTTTTTCATCTTAAAGTGTGATCATATAAAATAATATAACCATATATTTCGGAGGGAATCATAAGTCGATTAACATTGTCAGAGTGCGGATTGGGCTTATCGGTTACCGGAATAAGCTTGTGGTCGGCCTTATGCTTGAACATTAAAGTATTGCTGCCACGCACGGTTTCGTAATTATAGGTATCATTATAACATAGGATACTTCTGTGCCAGTCGAAAAAACTTAAGTCGCTTGGCTTCGGGCGCAGCTTAGCTCGACCCTCAAAGACGGCCCTCCAATTGGTGCGATCGGGCAACTTTAAGGTGAAGTCGCGCAAACTCTTCTCATAGTCTATATAGCCGCATATGTCGAAGCCGCTTCGCTGCCGCACCTGCAGAAAGATAATGGTCTGGCAAGGCAACTATATACAAGTCGTTCGATATTAAAGAAATCGGCATATATATATGCTTACAGATAATTTCTGTAACAAATTGGCTTCCTCACGGTCCACCAAGGCTTGTAAGGCAGCATCGGTACCTTTAAAGTAACTACCATAGAGGACGCTCGATAAGACCTTTGGACTGATATGGTCGTGCAATTGTTTTCGTAATTGGTAAAATTCATGCTCTTCGTATACTTTGGCGGTGCAGCGATAGCCGAGTTTCACCAACTTTCTAATGGGTTGCATACTCGACAGATATCTATACTCCTCTTTTTTAATGAACGAATTCAGGTAATCCTCATATGATTGGAAGTTAAGCAGATTAAAATCCACATTTCCCGACATCGTAAAAATTGTTATTTTAAAATATATTTGCGAGATAAACAATATTCTTAGATATTTATTAAATATATCTTATTTGTGTTGTACTTATTTGACTGATTCTACAAATTATACAGATGCTCCTTATGCGCATACCCTATTTTGACATTTGTCACAGGGCATGCTTAGTGCTAGACGCTGCCGACTGCTTACAGGCAAAAATGTGAAAATGTATTTTCTATAAAAGCCAAGCAAAAACACAAACGACGACAACGATGAGGACGATGAGAACGATGCTGATAAAGACAACATACACGCTGAGAGACAAAGAACGTGGCCGCCTGTCGCCATTTTGTTGCATTTGCGACTTATATGCATATGTATGCACACACACACACACAAACACACACATGCTTATGTGTGGCTCCCAAACTCAAACGTGCAGTAAAAATTACATTTTCCTTGCACGAACATTTCCCACAACCAACTGCACGAAAATGCACAAAGATTTTTTTGTTGCCTCTTTTCTTCTTGCTTGGCCGTACTTTGTTTTTACTCGAACGATGGCGGAAAACGTTTTCCATTGGCAGCGGCATTGGCGGTCGGGCGATTTTATTGAACAGTGGTGAAGGCTAATCCAAAATGTAAGCATATTTATTTTAAATACTTTTTGTAACTATACGACGTCTAGAATAATTAAGAATTGTACCATGTAGAGAAAATACTCATAATAATAAAACATTTATCGAAAATGCCTAAAATATAATGGTAATTCATTCTCATATCCCTTTCATTACTAATACATTACTTACTTATCTATTTTACATACAATATTTTTTTGATTTTTTGCAACATTCAATTAACTTAATTTTTTTAAAACTATTTTGTTTACTTAAAAAATAATAGATAACTAAATTGAATATAGAGTTTGTGTGCATAGTATGTAAATAATTTCGAAAACCTTTTCGATTTTAAATTTTTGTTTAGAATTTTTTTTTATAGTGGCTTGAATTCTGCAAAATTCACCAAATCTTTGACCCCCCTTTATACCAAAAAGTAGGAAACACCTCTCAAATGAAATGTTTAAAAAACATCTTTGTAAATGAATTTGTGGATGATCTGAGATTCCATATTTGTCATTCAGTCAGTCAGTCAAAAAGGCTTTTGATGAACTATTGAAACCTTGAATAAAAAATGTGCTGTTTCACATTACATATAATTATAAATAATTATGAAAAAATGTATGTATACATTTTACTTGAACATAGATTTTTATTCGAATTTTATTGCTTATGAAATGTTTACTTTTAATAGATGTTATAATAATTAAATTGTGTTTGGAACAGTAAAACCAGACTTTTACCACTGTCCCTGCCACTATGTTAGTTTAAATGGCGCAGAAATCGGTTTTACCACTCGTACGTTTGGCATATTTTACAAATGCATTTGACATAAATTTTAAAGGGCTTAAGTGCCACAGCCCCGCCTGCTGCGCCCTGGTCCACGTAATGTGCCACATGATAAGAAGACGACAACGCCTACATAGATGGCCAGGAGCTGAATGGAGGGGGGTTTGCTGGGTCGTTAAATCTTTGCCGGGTGCAGACATAAAATAAGGCAATTACAGTAAAGATCATAAATTATGCGAAGGCTCCGCAACAAGTGCGCGATAAAAATAGAAGAAAAAAAAAATAAGAAAGAAATGGGACAAACGTCAGACAATCATCAGTCACTCCAGCACTTGGGGCATTCCCAAATTGAAGACTGAGAAAATCTATTGTAGGATTTTCCGCCTTCTGCCAGTTTTGCATGTGTGAAGCTAAGTAAGCCCGACGGTCTAAGTACTCAGCACTTGGTACTCAGTACTCAGTACTCAGTGCTCGGTACTCATGTCGTTTATCAACTGTCAAGCGAAATGCATTTCAGCAGCTGCTGACAACAATGCGATGCGATGCGAGTTGCTTATCCCGCCCACCGCCCACCGCTCGCTGCGCCTCCCGCTTCGTCGGCTCATGCAAATCGGTTTTACTGGCGCATTAAGTGTATGCGATTTCCTTTCAACAAGGACAATTTAATGCAAAAATGCATGCTTGACAGCCCGGCCAATGCGTGAGAAGGACGGGCAGCGGGTTGAGCATTACTCCAGTTATGAATAAATACTCGTACCTATACGAGCTTGACTCTTGAGCACATTGAATGCTCGCATCTGCAACGGGCTTCATATTGAACTCGAGTTCAGTTTTCCTTTGAGCGCTTAGTGAGGCGTGTTATCGACGGCCTTGCATGCCCGCACAAGCCATAAACGTCAATTGGCCTCGCAAGTGGCAAAGTGGCAAGTGGCAACTGGCAAGCGGCATGCGGCACGCGGCATGCGGCAACAAGTCTGCGTAACGGTAATGGCAAGGAAATGAATAGCGGCTACAGCTGCGCACAGTGTCATAATTATAGATGGATATCGCTTCATTTGAGCGATATGCAAAGGCAACTTAACGGATGAGGCAATTGCAAAATTGTCAAATAAAATTCGAATCAAATGCTAAATAAATACCTCATATATTTAGTTGTAGGTTTAGCGGGATCAAGGTTAAGCTTTTCGAGTAAATAAAACAAAACAAACTGTTTCTCTATTTTTAATATATGTTTTTGCACCCTGATAGTTGAGATAGAGGCTCGAAGTAAATAAATTAACATTAATTTTATAACTCCTAAATACATAAATTATATTCGTATAAGATTTTTGATTTGGCACGCTCTAGTTTTTAAATAATTTTGTGCTTTAATTACAGCACTGTGTCTTATTTATTAACCAATATATTTTGGCTCGCCTCAAAAACTATCATCAGGGCTGTATACAAATTTTAGCACAACACAATATAAATATTGCATTTTTTTTTTTAACAAATAAAATGGTCCCCAAATTCCAACAACTATTATTGTTTAGTTCATAGAAACATTTTAAATATTTATAAGCAATATAAAATAATTAATAAATTGATTCAAGCAATTAATATTTTCTGCTTAACTAAGTTTGTAATATTTTATTAAGTTGTATAGAAAAAATCCCCAAAAATCAAAAAAGCATTCGAATGCATTTTTTTTTTATACTTATCGACACATTTAATATAAAGATCCGTAAATTATTTACATCAGGTTATTTACCGCAGGACAACAAATCCTGCAGCGTTAACCTATTAGTTAAATGCAGATCTTTTCATACCTGACATGAGCTACCCTCAAAAGGGCTTTGTTTTGCGTTTAGGCATTCGACATGGCTTTATTCAATAATTTAACCATCCAGAAGCGTCGTTCACTCGAATTCTATGTAAATTTGTTTGCTTTTTGCACTTCCCACCCCAGCACAGCAGCCCTTCAGGTTCATGGCTCTAGGTGGCAAAGCAGCATCTCTTTCTATCTCTCTCTCTCTCTCTCTCTCTCTCTCTCTCTCTGATTTAAATGCTAAAGTGCACGATTATCATTTCGATTTTGTATAAATAGGGCATGAATTATTCATGGCCACTTTACTTATGCACCATCAAAGCGACTTAGACGGTTCCATTTCCATATCCATCTGGCCCTAAAGTAGACATATGGCAATATGATGAAGTTGGCTTATTGACTTTAAGCCATAGATGAAATACTATTTGTGGCTTGCAATCACACAAGTTGTTAGATCGTGCAGTTTTGATAAAGTCAAGTTCACAAATTCAAGTAATTTCCTGTTGTAGAACTTTTTGCACAAGTTGTGACAATTGTTATTTCAACACACTCACACACACACACAGATATATATATATATATAGTTTATATTGAGTGAGATAAACACAAATTACTGTCGATTTCATTTTACGCCTTGAGCAAAGAAACTTTACTATGCCGCGCAGCATGCCAAGCAAAATCGGCGGCGCCCATTGTCAACTGCTTGCGCGGAGTCCTGGAGTCTGTTGTCCCGTGTCCTGAGTCCTGGCATCATCCTCAATGTCGTCGTTGTCTGAAATTCGATAAGACGACAGATAGACACGCAGAAAGACGTCGCTGAAACCTGGAAGCAATTTGCGCATAAACGTTCAGCACGATAAAATTTGCAGTTCTGTTTATTTTTCTGACAGATGCTGGGGAAACAGCAGCAGCATTGAAAACTCTGCTTGGAAAACTCTGTTTTCATCTGCTATGCGAAGTTTTGATTCGAATTAAATTTACGATTTGTTTCAGTGGCTGCGATATGCTTAAAGCAATTCCCGCGCACAGTGCGCGTTTTATTTGTCAGAAAAGCTGCTTTGGTTGGGCTTTAAGCAGAAGAACTTAGTTTGTCCTTAAACCGAATGGATTCTTTGCTATCATTATTTTAAATATTTTTAAGTTTAATATATTATTAGCTTGGTGTATATATATCAAAGCCGAAAACAAGTTTTAAATCGAATCGGTTTGAACCAGGAATTTCACTTATTTAAAACCAAGCTTAAGCAGAACCCGTTTGATAAAGAAATGTCGAATCTAAACTTGATCCGAAGCATATATTTAAAAAAAAAGGTCTTAGCTTAAACAATACAACTAACGTTGGAAGGACTTGCAGTCATGGCACTAATACAACACGGCATATTTATAGACTCATGAAATAGAAGCAGTCCTAAAATTTAGAGATAGTAAGTTTTTAAGAAAATACGAAATCCAAAATGCGGCAGCGCTGCTTCATCCACCTGCGCCACAGTTTTAGAAAGATAATGTTATATAACTTCTATATGTGTTGTCTGATCTTGGTTTCATATTAAATCCAAATCACAAGCCTCTAGCTTTAAAAATACGTTCTTAAATTTTGGGAAGAATCGGTTAAGGGATTTAAAATGTAATATATTTATACTGTGCCTATATACCAAACTTGATGAGCGACTGTGACGAGCTAGTTTTGCATATGATATAGGAATATATATATGTATATATATATATATATATATATATTCCCATATCATATGCAAAACTTATATATATATATATATATATATTCAATTACAACTATAAAGCTTTTGTAGTTCCGAGAATGAAGCGTTTAGGCAGATGGACAGACGGGCATGACTACGCTGACTCAGCTCCTGATTAAGAATAAATATACTTTTTCGTACAAAAAAGTGGCGTTATATTATAGCTTATTTAATATAAATAAAAATAATAACTGAGTATTCACCAATTAAAAACAAAAAACAAACCAATTAAACAAATTTCAATTCGATTAAATCTTGTTAATAGAATTTGTTAAAAGTAATTTGGAACTGATCTGATTTGAAGGACATTAAACAATGCCAGGACTTCAATCACAGTCCCAAACAATTACAGGATAAGGCAGCAAATTGAGGTTGGCTGGTAGCAGTCATTAGCCAAAACTGTCAATAACATTGTCCGAAAACAAATGTCAAACAAACATGGCCATAATGATAAATCAATAACAAAGAATGTAATGTTGCATTCAGCTTTTTTGTATGCTTTGGCGGAATGTTGCAAACCTAAATTAAATAACAATACGGGCTAAATTGCCATTGCAAATTTGTTACACTAGCCGGAAGCATACGGATAAAATACATGGCGCTTGGCAGTGTATGGGTGCGGGTGGAGGCTCTGGCACTCTGGCAGAAGGTAGCTAAAATTGCAGCAAATCACATAACTAAAACGCATTTGGTTGTCAACTAGGCTGGCTGCCAAATGAAAATTATAATTGATGCGATATTAATACGCGTACCGTATCATTGTCCCCGGATTCCCGATCATTCCAACCAGCAGCATCCATCCCCTATTCCCATAGACAGGCAGCTGATGTTGAGATTGATGTGTTGCATTCGCGGAAAAAGGCTTAGCAACAGGCTTGCTTCTCCTGCCCTTTCCACCCAACTGACTTTGATGGCATGCGTCATTAATGTCAGCCATGGTGTTGTACACACACTGACACACAGACAGATACACACGCACAGCCACAGCCACAGCCACGCACAACAAAACGTTCACAATTGTCATCAGCCTTGCTTTGGCTTTTTGCCGGCTGGCTCCTGGTCAGTGTAGCCACCATGGAGCTGCCACTCCCTGCGACAGCTCGGCTCTGCGGGCGTTGCGGTAATTAGATGAATGTGCCATAAATCATTTTCTAAATCATTTGTTGCCAGTTGCCCGTTGCCCGTTGCATTGGGTCCTGATAGCCACAGTTCTGTGCTGCTTTCACTTTTGTGCTATGTTCTGTTGGACATTTTTGCTTGAATTTGTGTTCAGCCAGCTGGCATTTTATTTTAATACTCTCGTAGAGGGTATTATAAATCTATCATAAGTCTAGAAGGAAGAAGTTTGTGAATATCCTCTCTTTCCTGTGCTTTAATATTTTTCGGGAAATTTGTTCGGTTTCATTTAAATCATAAAATGGTAAAGTGATTTTACTTAAATGTATGTAGCTGGCAGCAGGAAGCATATCCTGAGTCGGATTTAAAAGTCGAGTCAATTTTTTCTGTACTTTCTAGTCTCTGCAAAATTTATTAAAAAAATTTAAATTATTTATTATCTTTGGCGCAAAATATATTCCCGATAGTTCATTCGATTTATAATAAAATTGTATTGCTAGTAATCGAAAAGGGAACTTTTATATGCAATTTTCAAAGTCTCTTTCGCTTAATCATGATTTGTACAAACGACAAACGTCCTTCTTCTTTCCAGGTATACCAATTGATTCCATGATCTAAAGAACTACTTTCATCTCTATATACGCCATTCAGATTACTAGAAAAGTTGAGAGCATAACTAAAAGCGATGTATATTTATAGTACGCGTATCCTCACCAGAGATAACATTTCTTGAACCACCAACCGGACGACCATACAACAGCACAATTGAACTCAGAGAGATCATTTTCTCGATCAATCGTAGAGAACTTCATGCCATTATGATGTATCAGTGCATCGCCAGCAGTGCCAGTATATTTTCCTAACGATTTAATTTTAAATGATTCACTCTCATCGCCTATACTAAAATTATCATAACGAGCGAATCTAGTTTGGTTTTCAAAGTTCTGTAGATATATAAAGAGCTCATGTGTATGGCTTCTGGTAAGCAGGTGCAGGTTTTTGAGCCCCAAAAAGAACTCTCCTTGCGGATTTCCGAATCCTTGACGATATTCCCTCCACGTCTGATTAAAGTTAACTGTGCCATCTTTACGCCTCTGGACAACGATCCAATTCAATCCAGCCAACATTGAATCGCAAAGCACTGAACAGGTTCTTTTTTCGTGTTCGATAAGCGCATCTTTAGAGTCTATCAGAGTATTTTGGGCTTTAACTTTAGTTTTTAGATTGTTTATGTTTTCTTGCTTAGTTTGCAATTCTTTGATATCAGCGTTCTTGTTTTCGATAAGTCCATTTTTCGCGGCTAACAGATCATTGCATAATGTTAATGAATGATTTTGAGCATCAACCGTAGCTTGAAGATTGTCTTGAATGGTCTTGGTTATGTTCTCTTGCTTAGTTTGCAATTCTTTGATATCAGCGTTCTTGTTTTCGATAAGCGCATCTTTCTCGGCTAACTGACCTTTGCATGATGTTAATGAATGATTTTGAGCATCAACCTTAGCTTGAAAATTGTGTTGAACTACTTGCATGGTCTTGGTTATGTTCTCTTGCTTAGTTTGCAATTCTTTGATATCCGCGTTCTTGCATTCGATAAGCGCATCTTTCGTGGCTAACAGATCATTGCATAATGTTAATGAATGATTTTGAGCATCAACTTTAGCTTGAAGATTGTCTTGAATGGTCTTGGTTATGTTCTCTTGCTTAGTTTGCAATTCTTTGATATCAGCGTTCTTGCATTCGATAAGCGCATCTTTCGTGGCTAACAGATCATTGCATAATGTTAATGAATGATTTTGAGCATCAACTTTAGCTTGAAGATTGTCTTGAATGGTCTTGGTTATGTTCTCTTGCTTAGTTTGCAATTCTTTGATATAAGAATTCTTGTTTTCGATAAGCGCATCTTTCTCGGCTAACTGACCTTTGCATGATGTTAATGAATGATTTTGAGCATCAACCTTAGCTTGAAAATTGTGTTGAACTACTTGCATGGTCTTGGTTATGTTCTCTTGCTTAGTTTGCAATTCTTTGATATCCGCGTTCTTGCATTCGATAAGCGCATCTTTCGTGGCTAACAGATCATTGCATAATGTTAATGAATGATTTTGAGCATCAACTTTAGCTTGAAGATTGTCTTGAATGGTCTTGGTTATGTTCTCTTGCTTAGTTTGCAATTCTTTGATATAAGAATTCTTGTTTTCGATAAGCGCATCTTTCTCGGCTAACTGACCTTTGCATGATGTTAATGAATGATTTTGATCATCAACCTTAGCTTGAAAATTGTGTTGAACTACTTGCATGGTCTTGGTTATGTTCTCTTGCTTAGTTTGCAATTCTTTGATATCAGCGTTCTTGCATTCGATAAGCGCATCTTTCGTGGCTAACAGATCATTGCATAATGTTAATGAATGATTTTGAGCATCAACTTTAGCTTGAAGATTGTCTTGAATGGTCTTGGTTATGTTCTCTTGCTTAGTTTGCAATTCTTTGATATAAGAATTCTTGTTTTCGATAAGCGCATCTTTCTCGGCTAACTGACCTTTGCATGATGTTAATGAATGATTTTGAGCATCAACCTTAGCTTGAAAATTGTGTTGAACTACTTGCATGGTCTTGGTTATGTTCTCTTGCTTAGTTTGCAATTCTTTGATATCAGCGTTCTTGTATTCGATAAGCGCATCTTTCGTGGCTAACAGATCATTGCATAATGTTAATGAATGATTTTGAGCATCAAGTTTAGCTTGCAGAATGGCTTGGTCTGCTTGGATGCTTTTGATTATGATCTCTTGTTGTTGAACTTTCGCCAGTAATTTTGTAAACTCTTGTTCTTTTAAGTACGCGTCAGATGCGTGTTGTAGGAGAGGTTTAACCACACGGTAACAATAGGTTTCACACCTCTTATCCAACTCCTTATCAGCGGCACAACTCTGAAACATAATATTCAATAATTCACTCAAAACTTACAGCTAATTTGCTTTGCTGACCAAGTTTTTAGCTGGAACACTGCCACAACAAATTTGCACCAGTGCGTAAATAAACAAGATTAAGAATTTCACATTTAATTTTATTGAAAACATCGCAGAATTCACAGCTTGTTTCGCCGAGCTAACTTTTATGAATTGTAGATTGATTGCACATCTATTGCATTTTATAACTTTGCAATTTACAGAATATATACTTATTACTGATAGAGAGTCTACGCCGCAAACAAAAAGAAGCAACGTTTGGTGTTATCAACTGCACAATTTACGGTCCAATTATTGTACCCTTGCAGAGGGTATTATAATTTTGTCGTGAAATGTGTGACGCATAGAAGGAGACATCTCCGACCCCATAAAGTACATATATCCATGATCAGTATCAACAGTTTTAAAGCTATCTTTATGAAATTTTGCAGAAGTGCCACTTTCTGTTGAACGCAGTAGATATGTCAAAACCAGCTGGATCGGACCTCTATATGATATAGCTGTCATAGGATCTATCGGTCGAAAAGTAGGTTCTTGTATGAAAAACATTTTTGTTTATCAAGATATCTTAACCAAGCTCGGCATTTATTAGTTTTACTAAGCTCCTCATATATATGCAAAATCCTATCAACATCGGAATACTATATCATCTAGCTGCCATAGGATGGATTGTATGGAAAACTTTTTTCTTTTTCAAGATATCTTAACCATACTCGGCATTAACTACTTTTCCTGTGCTTCTTAGATACGTGCAATGCACTATGAGCATTATGAAAAGGTTAGGTCTGCAAGGGTATTAACTCTTCGGCGTGCCGAAGATAGCCCTTCTTCCTCGTTTTGAACATATTATTGTTAAGAGGGAAAGGGAGAGAAGAACTGAATCATTCTAGACGATCTGGCAGTCTGCCACATCCAGATGACGTTAATAATACAAATAATAAATGTTTAAAATAAAAAAAATAATTAAATAAAACAAATACTAGTAAAACTAACTGATTAAAGCATTTAATATTATAAATTAACCCAGCGCTTTAAAACAATATGCATAAAATATATATAAGAAAATATAGTAAAAAATTATGAATATATGATAATTATGTTTTGCTCTGATAACAACTATATTTTAATTAGAAGAAACAAAATTTATATGAAAAAATAAACATAATATTTTCAAAATCATGAATATTTCCTAATAAATAAAGTGACTCGAAATAAACGTATAAAAAGTATTTCATATTAAAAGAAAAATTGTTCAAAGTATGAAAAATGAATTTCATATTTTGGTTCTGATTTGAAATATATTTTAAAGAGTAATAAAAATTATAAATTTACAGATAATAAATTGATTGTACCATACATATGAAAATTATTATTGAATTAGGTATTTCATACTGGATAAGAACCAGGAAGCATTAATAATTTGATCTTGACATTTTCGATAAGCGCATCTTTCTTGGCTAACTGACCTTTGCATGATGTTAATGAATGATTTTGAGCATCAACCTTAGCTTGAAGATTGACTTGATCTACTTGCATGGTCTTGGTTATGTTCTCTTGCTTAGTTTGCAATTCTTTTATATAAGAATTCTTGTATTCGATAAGCGCATCTTTCGTGGCTAACAGATCATTGCATAATGTTAATGAATGATTTTGAACATCAACCGTAGCTTGAAGATTTATTTGATCTACTTGCATGGTCTTAGTTATGTTCTCGTGCCTAGTTTGCAATTCTATGATATCAGCATTCTTGTATTCGATAAGCGCAACTTTCGTGGCTAACAGATCATTGCATAATGTTAATGAATGATTTTGAACATCAACCGTAACTTGAAGATTTATTTGATCTACTTGCATGGTCTTAGTTATGTTCTCGTGCCTAGTTTGCAATTCTATGATATCAGCATTCTTGTATTCGATAAGCGCATCTTTCTCGGCTAACTGACCTTTGCATGATGTTGATGAATGATTTTGAGCATCAACCTTAGCTTGAAGATTGACGTGATCTACTTGCATGGTCTTGGTTATGTTCTCTTGCTTAGTTTGCAATTTTTTGATATTATAATTCCTGTTTTTGATAACCGCATCTTTCACGGCTAACTGACCTTTGCATGATGTTAATGAATGATTTTGAGCATCAACCTTAGCTTGAAGATTGCCTTGATCTACTTGCATGATCTTGGTTATGTTCTCTTGCTTAGTTTGCAATTCTTTGATATAAGAATTCTTGTTTTCGATAAGCGCATCTTTCTCGGCTAACTGACCTTGGCATGATGTTAATGAATTATTTTGAGTATCAACTTTAGCTGGAAAATTGTGTTGAACTACTTGCATGGTCTTGGTTATGTTCTCTTGCTTAGTTTGCAATTCTTGGATATAAGAATTCTTGTATTCGATAAGCGCATCTTTCGTGGCTAACAGATCATTGCATAATGTTAATGAATGATTTTGAGCATCAACTTTATCTTGAAGATTGTCTTGAACTACTTGCATGGTGTTGGTTATGTTCTCTTGCTTAGTTTGCAATTCTTTGATATAAGAATTCTTGTTTTCGATAAGCGCATCTTTCTCGGCTAACTGACCTTGGCATGATGTTAATGAATGATTTTGAGCATCAAGTTTAGCTTGCAGAATGGCTTGGTCTGCTTGGATGCTTTTGATTATGATCTCTTGTTGTTGAACTTTCGCCAGTAATTTTGTAAACTCTTGTTCTTTTAAGTACACGTCAGATGCGTGTTGTAGGAGAGGTTTAGCCACACGGTAACAATAGGTTTCACACTGCCTGTCCAACTCCTTATCAGCGGCACAACTCTGAAACATAATATTCAATAATTCACTCAAAACTGATTTACAGCTAATTTGCTTTGCTGACCAAGTTTTTAGCTGGAACACTGCCACAACAAATTTGCACCAGTGCGTAAATAAACAAGATTAAGAATTTCACATTTAATTTTATTGAATACATCGCAGAATTCACAGCTTGTTTCGCCGAGCTAACTTTTATGAATTGTAGATTGATTGCACATCTATTGCATTTTATAACTTTGCAATTTACAGAATATATACTTATTACTGATAGAGAGTCTGTGACGCACACATACAGAAGCAACGTTTTGTTATCAACTGCACAATTTACGGTCCATTTATTTTAAATAAGAGAGAAGAGCTGATTCATTCTAGACGATCAAAAAAATTTAAATGAAAAAATAAACATAATATTTTTTAAAATCATGTAATTCCTAATAAATAAAGTGATTCGAAATAAAAGTACAACAAGTGTTTCATATTAATAGAAAATTGTTCAAAGTATGAAAACTGAATTTCATAATTTGGTTCTGATTTGAAATTCATTTGAAGGAGTAATAAAAATTATAAATTTACAGATAATAAATAATTTTATTATAAATGTGAACAGTTTTATTGATTTAGGTATTTCAAAATAAGTAGAATAAATAATTCATTTAATTTAAGATAAGTAGTTTAAAATTATAAAAATGCGTTTATATATTTAATTTAATAGATAAAAGTGTAATAAAAAGTGCAATGGAAAATAAATAAATTATAACAACATCTTAAATATTTATTTACAAATAAATATAAGTGAAATGGTTAAAAATGATGAAAAATGTATTATACTTTTTTTTTTGGTTTAACTTAAATTAAAAATATATTTTTAGGAGTTATCAAATTCTGAAATCAGAAAGCAATTAAGTTAATGTCGAGTGAGCTGCTGCAAAACAGTATATGGTATGTTACAGCTCAGCAGAGGGGCTTATAACAACAATAACAATAACAAAGACAACAGAGACCACAACAAGCATGTAACTCATTATGCAAGTCACAGCAAGGAACAGCGCAAGGATCAAACTCATGAGGCGCAGGGCAATGCTGGACAACTCTGTTTGCTAACTAAAACGCATATTCCAATGAGCCACGCCCCCCAGTAGCAAGCAACTCAGAACGCAAACACACACCCTCAAATAAACCAACAATGGCACAGGGGTTGGGATGGGGGTGGCAAGTGGTGCAGCAGCAGCAGGAGCAGCAGGAGCAGCAATAGCTGTTAATTGTGTACAACAAGGAAGAAATTGCAGTGAAAACAAAATGAACTGTGGCAGGGAATGTCAAAGGAGATAACAGGACAACAACAAAGGTGGGCGTGACCGGGCGAAAGTTTAGCTATAAACAAGTATGAATGCTCTAGTCGGAAATACCCAACTAACAGATACCCTGAACCCAATTACCAGCTGCCTTACTAGCATGCTTCCTGCTTCTAGCTTTCTTCTATACATGCCCCACACCATATATGGTATATGCATTCTGGAATAACTTCGATGTTTGTGGGCCCGATCCCTATGAAATATTGAATAAGGACAAAAGAAAGTGTGTCAATACAGAAAGAAGGACCTACATTGGGATTTTGACAGTTTTTAAAACTATTGATATACTCTCAATATCGGTATTATTTAATTCTAATATTTAAACTATGCTTAAAATATCAATTTATATAGGAATATATTGGCAATAAATACATATACTTATTACTGATAGAGAGTCTGTGACGCACACATACAGAAGCAACGTTTTGTTATCAACTGCACAATTTACGGTCCATTTATTTTAAATAAGAGAGAAGAGCTGATTCATTCTAGACGATCTTTCTTTCTTCTGCCTGACACATTCATTGGCGCAAAAACATTATACTCTTATAACCCATTTTTAGTGCGTTCAGGGCATAAATACGGCGAGACAACAGATACAACAGATACGTGAAAGCGGATGCCAAGTTGACCATGTGCCATGTGCCCTGGACTTGGCTTAGTGCTTATGGCAACTGCATTTTAAGTGCTAAAAGTCGACGCTGTCAGCTAATCGCAATGGCGCCAAGTTAAGCGGCTTAGATACATATAGAAATATATGCATGCACATGTATAAATATATGTATATGTGTATATAAACTGTGCCATGGTTGTATCTTAAAGATACACAAGCACACAACATTCCACGGTAGAGCACTGTGCATAAGGTATGAAATATTGGTGCCACATGTTAATTAAGTTGCATGCCACAACAAAGGACAACAGCTAGTTGGACTTTTGGCTATAGCTTTGGCATGTTTTATGCAGATTTATGGAGCGCCAAAGGGCGTCTGCAGCTACAGCAGAACTTTTGCCACACGCAGCCAATTCAATTGTTGCTGTTGTTGTTAGGTCGCCGACACACATACACACACAGACACTCCCACGCATACACACACACAAATTATTAATAGTTGCAAAGACTAAAACACTCGTACTTGCCACATTGTGTGACGCATATATAGATATATTTTTGGTCTGTCTTAAACTAAGATAACATATAATTATAACTTCTTTAGCTTTAATTGTAATTTATGCTATTGCCGCAGGCCTTTGTGATTTATTGCCCAACAACTGCAACTCACACTGACACTCAAAAGTATCACAGTATCAGGTGAGAAAGTATTTATGTATATTAAGCTATCGGGTTACAATTAATTTAAGTGTCTCTTATCCAATATACATACATATTTGCCTTGAAATTATTTCGCTAGAGCTCAAAGACTTTGCTGTAATTTATTATTATATTTTAGAGTTCAAAATATTTGATGCATATTTTAGTATTAGTGCGCTGAGCTATAATTAAATTCCTGAATTTAATAGAACTTACAAAATATACGTTGTCGCATGAAGGTATTTAAATTAAATTAATTAAGTAAATTCTTGACACAGGATTCTGCTATTATATTGCTAGGAAATCAAACAATTAACCATAATTTCAAATAATTGATGGAGGAATTGCTGTATTCAAAACCACCTTAAGTTAATTTGATTTAAATGTATTCTAACTAAAACATGTTCAAATTAAAATACTATATCATTAAATTAATATTCAAAGAAACATTTCAAAGCTAAGACCAAATCTGCATTTGTATATTTTTGCTTTAGCTATAATACGAATTATTATATTTGGGCGTTTTTTTTTAAATTTCTAAAACCGTATGTCTGATTTGATAATGTTATCCTCAATAATTATTTAAATTAGAACATTTTAGTGAAGCCAACATATTCCATTTGTAATGTATCAATTGTCAGAGACAGACGACTATATTATTTAGTAAAAGCTACCAGCTGGACAGCTGTCCCATTTGAACTGACATCAGGCTGAGCTGTGACAGGAACAGGTACTGGGACAATGTCAACAAATCAATGAGAAGCACAAACAAGAGACACCAAGGCATTGGACTAATTAAATGGTGATTTGTGTCAATGATAAGGATAATAATTGCCTGGCAAACAAATCCACAGACAGGGCAAAAGAAAAGCGCACGTACTTGAGTTTTTCTTCACATTTCCATTGTCCCCATTGTTCGTTTGTGTCGGCGCTGGAGGGGCCCGCTGTGGACAGCGGGGCGTTGCCTAATGATGTGACGGCGATAAGAACACAAAATGGGCTGGCAGGCAATGGAATTTTTCTACAATATTCGTATAATGACAAGTAAATGACGTTCGAAATTATTTTGAGCCACTTGTCGTGCAGTGAACCAACAAATGAACAGCAAAGAACGACAATCTTTGCTAAGCCGAAGACAAAATACCCTTGTAGAAAAAAAAAGAAAATAGAAATTTCCATAAAAAAAAATTAATTTGTAACCCTTCATAACGATGCAGCGATATGATATAGTCACCAAATCCGACTACATCCAACATATGTAACGCCTGCTGAGAAAGTCGGACATGGCAATATATTCAGTTGCTGATACTATTGAAGAATAAATACACTTTATGGATTCGGAAATGTATTTTTCTATACGTTACACATCTCGTAACAACATTATAATACCCTCTTTAAGAGTATAAAAAGTACAAGAACACAACAAATCAAACAACACAAACTCGGAGAGTCTTCTTTATAGCAATCACTCACTCCTCCCTCTCTCGCTCGCTCTCTCTCTCTGCCTCGTTGTCTCACTCTCTCAAACTTTCTCTCTCCCTCTATGCTTGTCTCTGTCGACTGTTTGGACAAGTTATCATGAAGATGTTTCGACTCATTGAAACAAAGGCCAAGTAGAGTCAATCACACAATAGGACAGCAGCAATAACAACAAAAACAACAAGAACAACAACATTATCAGCAGCCACTTTCGTTGCCAGCGGGGGGGGGGGGCGTGGCCTAGCGCCTATAGATAAGCACCAACACGTTGATATTCGGATGCCCATTGAACCATTGGAAAATGTCAACATTAGCTACGCATTATGAGGATGTCAGACAGCTGCAGCCTCAATCGACTGCTACTGAAAATATTTGCCAAAATGAGCAAAAGTTATTATGAGACACATTTTCATTTTCCATCATCAATCTTTGCGCTTCAACACTTGCCCCACAATGAGGCGCCGGCCGAGAGTTCGTCTGTTGACACTTGATGAAGTTCTAATATTTATTTAGTTTATTATGCCTTATTGTCTCGTTACACGACTCGTTTAGAGATCTGTTGACAGCTCATTTTTAAATGCTCTTGCAGAGAGTTATATAACTTAGTCACAGCATACGCCACGACTCTAAAGCGTATATATATAAATGCTCTTCTGATCTGATCTGATCTGTCTGTGCTTATTCGAATATTGCTTCGCTTTGCTGTTATAGGGACAATCACTCATATATGGCTTTAATTGGAACGATGCTTTCGTCTGTTTAGCTGTTCATCTAAATTTTGGCTAAGCTATGTGCCCGACTTAGTTTAAATTTAAAAGACGTAATGTGTCCAATGTGGGGAAAGAAAGTTTGATTTTTAAAACGGATCCATTTCTTAAAAATCGCAACATATTTTATTCCAGAACTTACATTACTTTCGCAAAAATATGCTAGCAAGGCCTTGTTTATTTTAAAGAAATAATTTTATCAAAAATTGCATATTTAAATAAATAATATAAAAGTAGATTTTGATATTAATAATAATCGTAACCATAAGGCAAAAATCAAAGCCCCAAATATCGAAGTAGGCTTTGCAACTGGTTAATATGCAATATTCTA